AGAGATACACATGACGAGAAGAGGAGAAGGCGTTATTATTCTGTTTGGTGTGGAGAGAGAGGCTTTTTCGATTTTTTTTCTTTCTTCATTCTCACACTTTTCTTTTTCTTAGAATGCTAGGAAAACTAACGATTTTTCGGAGAAAAAAAATGGTGTTTTTTGTTAGTTAATTCATGTTTTGGCCTGCTAATGTTCGAAAAAACGTGTTTTCTCTTTTAATTTTGAAGGAAATTATGAGCGAAAAGGCAAAATTTGGGTCTGCTAATGTTGCTCGCGTTTCTCTGCGTCTCCATTGGCCTGCTAAATATTTAGCAGACCATTTTTTTGTTTGATTTGTAACTTTTTCCAAAATCCTCGTAGAATCATAGAAAATAGCTCATCTTTCATGATTTTTCTTGAAAGATGCAATTTCTATCATTATCTTGTCTTTATTTTTCTGATTTTGACCAAAATCTGCGTTTTCATGGAGCTTTGGGTATGCTAAATAGCCCCCGCTTTTCAAATATTAGCAGACCCAATTTTCCCGGAAATAGCCGAAAATTGAATTTTTCGGTAGTCGCAGCCGAAATTCTGCTATTTTGATTTTAAATGTGTGAACTTTGAGCCAATTCAAAGTTCTGAGATTTTCGTATATTTGGGTCTGCTAAATAAATAGCAGACTAATTTTTGAACATCCTTCAAACATTAGCAGACCTAAATTTCTCAGTAAGCGATGACAGTTAAAATTACCGGAAATCGCAGTCAAATGCCATCTTAAATGTCCAAATTTCGAGGGATATTCAAGGTTTTTCGGTCGCGATTTCAAAGTTTTCAGATTTTCAACCATTTGGGTCTGCTAAATAATTAGCAGACTAATTTTTCAATGACGAGTAGATCAATTTTCAGAATCATGAAGTGAAAGTATATCAATTTCTGATAGTCAACACGTTCTGAGTCATACACACAAATGGGAAACGGACAAAAAATAGAAAAAAAATTTAAAATCAATTGTTTTATTCATTGGAAGATTCAAAGGTCTTATTCAAAGGAACGATTACTGGATTCTTTAATTATTTTTTTCATTTTTTTTGATTTGATAGAGACAGATGGAGACAGATGGAGAATTAGAAAAAAAAAGAGTAATGATTATTAATTTTGTAGGCTAACACAAAAAAAAAGAACATGGGGCAATTAAGGTAAATTGTAATGCTAAAAAATTATAAACTTAACATTTTTGGATGTTATAAAGGCCATAGGAATATATCTGAAACGGGAATTCTTTTTGAGGTGGCGATGGAGAGATGTTTTGGAAAAAAAAATAGAGGGGCGTGACTTATTAAAAAGGAGGCGTTTCAAAAATGGAAACAAGAAAAAAAATCAAAGAAATACACACAAATTTCTGAGGCAGCAAAAAATTTGTGTGGTAATTTTCTTGGGTGGACTAATGGATGAGATGAAGGCGTGAGATTTTTTGTGGAGAGAGAGAGAAGAGAGAAACAGACAGTAGTCAAAATTCAGGACAAACCGACAGACAGACATACAGAAATGTATAGAGAGAAAACGAATCATTGCAGAGAATGGGAGAGAGAGGTAGATAATTATGATAATGGGGAGGAAAAAACAGACAATTAAAACAGACAAAAAAAAACTTTTTTTTGGAGTGATTTTTTGAGGGTTTTTCTTTTTTTGGGTTTTTGGGGGTGTATATTTTTTGGGTTTTTTTTTCAGCAATTCTAGAAATTTCCCTACTCGGAAAACTAGCTAGGTTGATGGGGGAAATGACAAAAAAATGGGGAAAATCCGACATTTTTGAATTTTTTTGAAGATTTTGGTGTAGAAAATTCCCTAGAAATTCAGCAGAATCTAGATTCTTAGGTTCTGTACGGGTTGAGGA